TTTTAATTGGGATCAAAACATTTTTGACAATTTTTAGTTTTTTAAGATTCTAGCTATTGTCATGTTTTTCAGCAAATGTTTCTTTTCTCAGCTGAAAAAAAGTGTAGTCAAATGTGAGCAAAAAATACTCAAGACAAAAAAAAAAAAAAAAACCAACTGTGATTCCAGTTTAATTTTCCATTTCCTCAACATGAAGATGCCAGCATGCATTAGGTCTCCAGTCCCTTGCTTGACAAGGGCAGAGGTTCAGTACAGGCTGCACAGTCTCCCAGGGAACGTTTTCAAGCAGAAAACATCAATGGTTCTTACTCTCAGGAGAAGCAGAACCTGAGAATCCAGCTCAGAAAGGAACAGGCATGGCTTTGCTCTGTAGCTTTCCTCCTCCGACTCCCTCCACAAGATTCTATCTCCTGGTGTAGTCTTACTGCCCATAGTGATGGTGAAATCACTCATTCTATTTCACTGTTGAGCAGTTCAACCTGCCAACAAAGGGTCCTGCTTATTGACATACTAAAATGGTCTTTTAGAAACTTCCAGGCAGAGCACTATATTCATTCTCAAGGTAATGCAGGACAAGTTGGCTGCTTCACCTGGACCCATTTTTGCAGTTTCATCATTTGTACTTCAGATTTAACAAACTCAGCCCTGGGCTGCAGAGATGACTCAGCAGTTAAGAGAACATTTTGTTCTATCAGAGGACCTGGGTTTGATTTCCAGCACCCACATAGTGGTTTACAACAATCTGAAACTTCAGTTTCAGGAGATCTGATGCCCTCTTCTGACCTTTGTAGGCATGTGGTACACAGACATGCATGCAAAACACCCACATGAAATAGAAAATAAAAAACTAACAACAACACAACAACAACAATGATAAAACCTCAATTCTTTTACTGTTTCTCCAGGGCTCGTGTTGTGTATGGACATGGAAAGTCTGCAGAAGAAGGATGTGCCAGAGGCCCCGTGTTAACCACACAGAACTCCAATAGGCTAAGCAGGAGAGCAAATCATCCTAAACTCCCTTCCACAAAGGCATCAGCAGACAGCCCCATCTTTTCCAATGATATAGAGGTAAATTGTATTGATTTTCTATTCAGGGAAATCTGAGGTTAAATCTATATTCTGCCTCCTGAACACTGCCTTGTAAATACTTTTCAGTTTTCCATATATCATGCTGTTTTGAGATATTTAAAAGCCTTTCTGGCTGGGGAAGCACCACCCTTATCAGGGCCACCAAATTCATAGAAACAGCAAAGAGTCCAGCAAGGTCTGTGTTGTTGACTGACAGGCAAACTGAACAATCCAGTGTTGTGGGATATTTGCTTGCACTGACACTCCAAGAATGATAATAAAGTTAATTTTGAATCAGGAGGTGGAGTCAACAACTAGCTAACAGGAACTAGTCATAGAGATTTTGGAGGACTCAAAGTGGGATAGAGAAGCACATGCAGGAAGAGGGAGGCACTCGGAGAGATTCTTGGTGTTTTCCATCTGAAACATGTGGAGAGAGGGGGCCAGCTGACCGTGTCTCCCATACCCCCACTTTCTGAATTTGTCAAGTTTTCCTCCCAGTATCTGACTCCTGAGTTTTTATTGGTAATAGAACAATTTAGATAAATTATTCAATATAGAGGCAGGAATTCTCTTCAATCCATATCCCACAGAAAAATATCTGCTCTGCTTTAATCACTACAGAGCCACTAGACTTGTGGCTTGGAGCCAGAGGAAATGATTCACAATAGGCAGCTCCAAACTGTCCCCTTGCCCTGCATCATATTTCCTGTGGGAATTCCAGAAAAGACCATGGCTAAGGTCTAAGAGGCCCTTCTGCTGCTATCTTCTCGTCTTTGGCTGTCCTGGAGTCTTCCCCCTTTAGTCCTGTGTGGTGTGCTCTGTTTCCTGTCTACAACTTTGTTAATGTAGTAAAGTTGTTGTTTGTTTGCTTTTTCTGGGGCCTCTCCTGATAGTAGAAGATACATCTGACTGACTTATTTAAAAAAAAAAAAACTAAAACCAAAAAAACAAACAAGCAAACAGGCAAAATTAGGACAGTGAGTAAGCCTAAGATGTAACAGGCACTTCGGCCAAACAAAATGCTCATCAAAATACATGAGCTCTAACTGGTTCCAGCCACTTCTCATTTTTTGAAAGTTGTGCCCAGTTTTCTGCCATTGACAGCTTCAGATGTAAAACAGGGATGGTGGTACCACATAGTTCTTGGAACGTTAGGATGGTTACCTAGCCTGGAACCTATAAACAGTTGAAAATGCCTGGAACACAATACACACTGGATGATGTACTACTTGGGTTTGATTATGGTTTGAACTCTTGTGTCTTCCAAGGTTCAGGTGTTGGAGGTTCAGTCTTTAGGACAGCAATGTCAGAAATGTGGGTGAACCTCTATGGGGCAGAGACTCCTAGATAATCCTTCCTTCAATTGTGATTATACCCTCAGAAGGAGGTGTGGGACCCCAGTGTCCTGCTGTCTCCTTGTTTCCTGGTGTGATCTCTTGGTCTCATGTATCCTCACAATGCCAGGACACTATTGTTAGTATTTAGGCATTTGTACTGGCCTGCCTTTGGAGTTCTGACTGGATATGCCCTCAGCTGCTGCCACTAAGAGCACCTCTGTGAAGATTCACTATGTTCCCTTTTAAATGGCCCTGCCCACCTCCCACCCCATTCCTTCCTTCCTTCCTTTCTTCCTCCCTCCCTTCCTTTCCTCCCTCCCTCCCTCCCTCCTTCCTTCCTTCCTTCCCTCGCCCTCTTTCTTTCTTTCTCTTTCTTTCTTTCCTCCTTTCTTTCTCTCCCTCTCTCTGTTCCTCTCCCCACACCCATTTCTTCTCTCCCACTGCTCTGTCCCCAGAGGCCAGTCTCCCCTCTCCCCTTTTTATTATTCCTTTCCCTAATTAAAAAAAAAAAAGAACTCTCTGCTTGAACCCTGTCACATGGTGTCTTTCTCTCTCGAGCCGCTTTTCTTAAATTACAACTATATACTACAGGGTCTTCATCACAGTCAAGCTAATGCCATAGGTATGACTTTAAACTTCAATAACTGTAGCTAAATAAGCCTCTCTTCTGTATAAAGTCAGCTTGTCTCTGCTGCTTTACTACAGAATCTGAAAATAGCAGTTAGAATTATTGCATGTTTGTAAGGATGAAACTGAATAATGCATGTAAAATGACTGACATAATTTAGGATGTAGGAGGCACTGGATAAGTGCATGCTTTTATTACTAGGTATTATTTTTAGTGTGTTAAAATATATATTACAAAATTTACATGAACTCTTTTAAAGTGTACAGCCCAGTCTCATTAAGTACATTCATACTGTTTAAAGATTTATGTTTATTTACGTATGTGGTGTGTGTGTGTGTGTGTGTGTGTGTGTGTGTGTGTGTGTGTGTGTGTGA